GGAAGTGTCACCTCCTTGGACCTATTCGTCATGCATCTGCTGATGCACGATAAAGTGCCATTGGCTTTTCTGATGGTTTCGTCACACTGCCGACTCATGTTCATCTTGGAGTCCACTAGGACTCCAAGATCCCTTTCCACTTCCGTGCCACCCAGCAGGTCATTCCCTAGGCTGTAGGTGTGCTGGACATTTTTCCTCCCTAGGTGCAGCACTTTGCATTTCTCCTTGTTGAACTGCATTCTGTTGTTTTCTGCCCACTTGTCCAACCTGTCCAGGTCTGCTTGCAGCTGTTCCCTGCCCTCCGGCGTGTCCACTTCTCCCCATAGCTTTGTGTCATCTGCAAACTTGAACAGAGTACATTTCACTCCCTCGTCCAAGTCGCAGATGAAGACATTAACGAGTATCGGTCCAAGGACCGAGTCCTGCGGGACCCCACTGCCCACACCCTTCCAGGTTGAAACCGACCCATCCACCACGACTCTCTGAGTGCGACCCTCTAGCCAATTCGCCACCCACCGGACTGTGTAGTCATTCGGACATAGACAGACCTTTAAATGTTTTTTCTACATACCTAAAGGTACCAGACAGCTCGTGAATGCTGCAATCGTGGGCAGATGGAGCGTCCCACAAGAGCATGGGGGGGTTTCCAGCACACTTGGCAACAGACCTGGAAGTGGACCAGAAGCACTTGCGATCCACTTCTGGGTCTGCCGGGGAGCGTGCGGGGGTGGGTCCACACGCCCACCTCAGCTTGGCGACTGGTGCCTCCTTGGTCTGGGGGGGCACCTGGGGTCCCCCTGCAGCCAACTGCCAAGCTGGGGAGGTGCGGGGGGGCCCCCAGTGTGCTCCCCAGCAGACCTGGAAGTGGACCAGAAATACTTCTGGTCCACTTCTGGGTTTGTCACTGAGCACAGGGGGAACCCTCCCACACTCCTGTGGGGTACTCCATCCGCCTTGGCAACGCAGCATTCACGAGCTGCGCCTGGTATTTTGAGGTACATAGAAAAACATTTAAAGCTGTGTTTATGCCCGAATCACTGATTCCCTGAATCAGCATTGAATCTTCATATTTGGATTCAGCCAAATCTGATCAGGGACAGTGATCCGAATCAATTAATTGAATCACTGTCCCTTATTTGGGCCGAATCTGAATCTGAATCGAATAGGGCCCATTTCACACACCCCTAGTAATTATAATGATGGGGCGTTTGATAAAAAAGCCTGGCATCCAAGGAGCTTTGCACTTCCTTTAAATCTGATCCACAGCTGCGCAATCACTACAGAAAGAGCAACAAGAGAAGCACTTTGCTTTCATCCACATCTGAACATTGTTATGCTTGGGACCCCAAAGAGAAAGAACTGACAATCTATCAAGAGGGGAACAACCACTGGTCAAACCTCATCCAAAATTTTGCAAGAGATGTAATAGGGCAGACAGAGAGAAGTCACGACTGAGTGATCAAACTTCAGTTAATGGCTGATTTGTTCCGCTTTCGTTTTTACTCACAGCATAAGTACCAAATAGCTAAACCTTAGCTACCATAATTCACAGTAGATGGAACTACCTGCAACTGTTATCATGGAGTGTTGGGCAGCAGTAAAATAACCTGCTAACCTCTAGGATGCCAATGGCTTCATGCAGAACAGACCTTAGAAAGGGGTATTAGCCTTACCCCAGTGAAGGAAATGCTGCCAAGAAGTTGTGGAACTGAAGTCCGCTTCATGATAAGGTAGACTGGGCTCTTAAACATGGTCAGCAGCCAGTCTAGGAGTGGAGCTTCGATAGATAGACAAATGGATGATCTCCCTTGCTCCAGTACTTCTTGCAGCCAACCTGGTTCCAAACTTACTGGCACCTGCCTTTCCTTTGAATTAAACCAGCAAGGTTGAGAAAGGGACACTGGCAGATCAGTGTCTCCAGGCTTTTGCACCCTAGAGAGGTCAGTCCAGCTTCGCTTTATCTTTCAAGCGAGGATTATGTTCACTGGCGTAATTCTATTCTCTTGCAAGACAGATGCCTACTACCACTCTATGATAACTGAACAGCACTAGTAAAAAGAATTCCAGTGTGAAGGTAAAGCATATTGGAGCAGACCCTAAGCCCCTGGCAGGCTCCTGTTGTGCTGGTACGGCACTGCAAATATGATTTAAGGCTCGCCTGGGCGCTGTTGAGCATTCTCCTACTCTTGCTTCATATTGGCTAGCATAAGGCCCAGTCTTAGTGCTGCACCAGTACCTGCTCCTCCCCACAATGGAGGAGCATTCCAGTCACACTCCCTATTGTCTATGCCATATAAGCTGCATGTTTTAGCCTGCTTTCTGCCATGCCAGCCATTTACTCAGTTATTTTTCTCCTCTACAGAATGCTCCTTCTCTGCTATGCTACTGTAGTAAATTTTTAAAACACAGTATAGTAAATAGACCCATCAGTCAGCCTGGGTCAAATGATAACCCCACAACAATATCAATACAGCAAAAATTTGCCAGTCTTACCTTGTTCCTACCCAGCATACCCATCACTCATCCCTGCATAAGCAAGGGTAAGAAATGGGCCCTGCAGTGTGCAGTGGTGACCAGTAAAATTGAACTATTTGAGAGATAGGGAAGGAAGAGTTCCCACAGTCGAGGGCTCGTTTACTCCACTCAAGCCCAAAGCAAAAATCTTTCCTCCTACTACATTTCAGAGTGGCTGACCCACTCTCCAGCCCCACAGATACCAAACCCAAACCTGTCACCCAATATCTGGATTCGCATTTTAAAATGGGTTGAAGACAAGGTTTGGCATTTGACTGATTTTCCAAAATGTGGATGTGTCATGTCTAATTTTTCAGTGAGCTCAAGTATTCTGAAAATACTTTTATTTAGTCTTCAGGTAAATGCCAGGTTTCTTATGCCACTTATTGGGGTAGTGTGTTGGATAGTTATTTAAGCCAGGTTTCACTATACATAGCTTTGGTAGCACTGGTCTGTGCAAAAGCTGACTGCACAGAAGAACCTTGTATGCACTTATAATGTTCTTTCTCTCCTTGGGAGCACGCAGGGCCTGGGAATCTCTGTTGTTTTTTAATTGGCTCATAAACCCTGAAGCAAGTCCAAGTTGTCCTGAACTTGCTCAACTTTGGCCTGAATCCGTTATTTGCAAGATTGTTTCTTTCAAGATTATGAAAGTTGGAAGATAACTGCGCGCGTGTGCATACTTATGTGCATGTGTGTATGTGGGGGGGGGTGTGGAGGTGTATTTTTTTAAACCATCCTTAATCTAGTATATTGGTCTCAAAGTTTTAAGGTTTGCTATGGTACGTACCGTTAGGGCATAAAGGAGACCTAGCCCCACAAAACCAGACTTTGGCCCTTCTTTGATGGAAGCAACTGCTGCAGTAAGAACTATACAGGCACCCAGATAATCCTAAAAAGAAAGAAAGATAGATTCTTGACAATTGATAGGATTAAAGTCCAGTAGCAACAATAAACAGTTTATAATATGATAACAGTATTTGCTTTTACCAACACTTATTTCTATACAGGCTAATCATCAAGTTCTGGATTTTTTTTCCCCAGAAGAGACTAGTTATTTTGAGTGCCAAAGTTAAGTTATTTCAAAGAAGCTTGATATTCATAGGGTGGATGATCAATGGCTTTGGAAAATCAGATCCACTTAAGTATCTTCAGTTGAGTCCAAAAAAACTGAGATATTTGAAACCACAAGTTACATAAACAAACTTCCCTTTTGAAAAAAGCTTTTCCAACACACAAATGATATAGAACTGACACATTCTCCTATCATGTCTGTCCTAATTCTTTACCAATAAAAGCAAAAGAACCCAGGTCAACTTTTACCAGACACTAAAAAGTGAGAAGTGTCAGGGGACCTGGACAGATTTAACATTTGAAATGCTTAATATCGATTGTATGTGGAATGACTAACTGCACCCACAAATCAGGTACATAAATATTTATTAATATCAGGTCATTCACATCTGACTTCTATCGTTTCTCCCTGCATTTTAGCTAGCATTTTCATTCTGATTGTTCTTCACTTTGGTAATTTTTATCTTAGAATCTTTTTCTGCTGAGATTTGCAATGAATGCTCCCAAATTAATCTGTCTCTAGAAGTGCTGTTGTGAAGATATTAATAGCTTAACACAATAACTAGATGTATGAAAGATGGACAGAGTATGTGGGTCTCTACAAGCTGTTGGAATTACAGCTGCACAGTCACTCCCAAGACCATGTTTCCTACATGGCTGTGTGCAATATGAGGACCCAGGTACCATTAGACAAAGCCAAATAAACTATTTCTCAGCAACAAGGTATTATTCCAAAGAGTTTAATGAAGTGGTCCAAGTGTTTTAATCAAATTCATTCCCAGTATGAGGCAGGCTTTAACAGAATTTATGACAGCTTGTTGAAGGGTTGCATCATTTTCTAGCTTTGTCTTCCTTGTCTTGGGTACAAAATTAGCAGGGCTGCAGTTCATTGCTACCATATAGGATCGAGTCCTGAGATTCTAACTTCTAATTAGATCATGCCCATCAGAAGAGTGGGAGTAGAATCTCACTGCCTTATTAGAGAATAAGAAGGCAGAAGGCCACCTAGAGACTCGGACGTTCAGATGAAGTAAGTCAGATATTACTCGTGGGTTAGGCCCATCCTCTGTGTTAGGTACAAAAGGACAGAGACATGTCCCTTTTTAATCCCTGGCCCCTTTTGTATTCCTGGTGAATAAGAAGGCAATAATTATGTTAATCTTTATATGGACTACCCATATGGGAAGAGGCTCCTTGTGTGCCCCACTTAGAGGTCCAATTTTTGCCACCTTTTTCTCACTGAGCCATAATTTACTTTGCAAATAGCTCAATGGACTTTGATGAATATACTAACAGACTCAGGCTATGAGTGAGGACTACAGGATTTAGTTCACTGTTTGTGAGGTATTTTGGGTCCCAGGAGATGATGGGTGACAGAAATAGAATTATTATGAAGTTTGTAAAAACACCTAAACGCCTTCAAAATAGTTTCCACTTTGGCAGGGCCTCAGACATTGCACAGTAGTAGAAGAAAGTCTTACTACAAGTTATATAAATGTTCTTACACTCTCTTTAGAACCACAGACATCACAACACAAAAGATGAAGGAGTCTTGTATTTTCTTACACAAAGCCAAGAAAGCTGGAAAAATCTGATGCTTTAATATAAATAATCCTGAGCTATTTTAAGGATCAGTGTACATAAAACTGTTATATCTCATTGTAAGATTAATTCCAACTATTATCTCTTCCATTGCATCAAACAAAGTCTCTGTTTGCTTCCAAGGTTTCAAAACCATGGCTAGAACTAAACTGTACGTACCGTCCTGACCTCCAGCCATCTATTGGCAGCTGAGAGAAATAAATAGGCAATGTTGTTTGTGTCTGTTAGTTCCAACATACGTTGTTTAAATCTGGCTTCATGCCTGCACAGGGAAAAGATTTTACATTAAAACAAGCACACACAAAAAGTTCATTTGTTTTTAAAAACTCAATGGCTTGTTACTAGGGCTGTGCAAAGCTTTGGTCACTGATTCGATTTGGTGGAGATTCGGCCCGGTTCAGCGGCTGAATCTCCGAATCAAATCAGATCCTTTAATGTCTCCAAATCAAATCAGAACCCTCCAAATTGATCTGGAGATATTCAATGATTCGGACATAGACACAGCTTTGAATATTTTTTGTACATACCACAAGGTACCAGGCAGTTCGTGAATGCTGAGATGCTGGGGTGGATGGAGTGTCCCACAGGAGTGCGGGGCGGTCCCCAGCACACTCGGTGGCAGAGCTGGAAGAGGCCCAGAAGCACTTCCAGTCCACTTCCAGGTCCACCGGGGAGCGCGTGGGGGTTTCCCCCTTCCCCCCTGGCTCAGCAACTGGTGCCTCCTGGGTCTGGCGGGGCACCCGTGGCCTATCAGCGAAGTTCTTCTGGTCCACTTCCGGGTCTGCCGCCGAGCATGTGGGGGCCTCGCCATTGTCCTGTGGCACACTCCATCCATCCCACCATCTCAGTGTTCACGAACTGTGCCTGGTACCTTGAGGTATGTCAAAAAAACATTTAAAGCTGTGTCTATGGCTGAAGCACTGATTCTCCGAATCAGTCGAATCTTCAGAGCCAGATTCAGCCGAATCGAATCAGGACAGTGATCCAAATCAAGTAATCGAATCACTGTCCCCCAATTCAGGCCGAATCTGAATCCAAATTGAATACGGCCTTTTTTGCACACCCCTACTTATTACAGTTATTGCATCTTTTGCCCTCAGAACCCCACTTTGTTTTTCATGTTGTCTTTGGCTTGATGCAGCCACATTTACACTCAGTTTCACCAGTAATCATTTTTAACTAACTTCTGGGTCAGAGTATGCGTTCAAGCTGGGTTTAGGACCATTACTATCCCACCAACTAAACGAAACCAAAAATACTGATGAATGAGTGAAAGAAAAGACAGATTCTTGCTTCCCCTCTTCCCTCCAAAGGACTTGTCATGTGATAGAGGCCAACAGCTACAAAGGCCAACAGTAGAACAGAGATTTCGTAGAATCATAGAAAATCATAGAAAATTAGGGTTGGAACAGACTTCAGGAGACCATCTAGTCCAAGCCCAAGCTCAAGGCAGGACCATCCTCAACTAGATCATCCCTGCCAAAGTTCTGTTGACACGGGCATTAAAAACCTCTAAGAATGGAACTTCCATCACCTCTCTGGGTAACCTGTTCCAGTGTTTTACTATCCTCCTAGTGAGAAAATTCTTCCTAATATCTAACCTAAACTTCCCTTGCTGCAACTTCAGACCATTGCTCCTTGTTCTGTTATGTGGCACCACTGAGAAGAGTATAACACCACCCTCTTTCAAACCTCCCTTCAGGTAGTTGAAGGCTGCTATTAAATCTTCCCTCAGTCTCTTCTTCTCTAGACTAAATAAATCCAGTCCCACAGTCTTTCCTCATAGGTCATGTTCCTCAGCCCCCTCACTATTTTTGTTGCCTTCCATTGGACTCTCTCCAATTTCTCCACATCCTTTCTGTAGTGGGGGCCCCAAAACTGAACACAGTACTAGAGTGGCCTCACCAGTGCTGAACAGAGGGGAATAATCACCTCTCGTGACTTACTGGCAACACTCTTATTGATCCAGCCCAGTATGCCATTAGGCTTCTTCGCAACAAGGGCACACTGCTAACTCATATTCAGCTTATTGTCCACTGTAACCCCCAGGTCCTTTTCTGCAGAACTGCTGCCCAGTCAATCAGCCCCCAGCCTATACTGGTGCATTGGGTTATTCCATCCTAAGTGCAGGACTTGTCCTTGTTGAACCCGAGGAGATTTTTTTTGGCCCAATCCTCCAATTTGTCTAGGTTCCTCTGCATCCTAGCCCTACCCTCCAGTGGATCTACTACTCCCCCCAGCTTGGGGTCATCTGAAAACATGCTGAGGATGCACTCTGTGACATCTTCCGGGTCACTGATGAAGACATTGAACAAAATTGGCCCCAGGACCAACCCCTGGGGCACTCCACTTGATACCTGCTGCCAACTAGACATCAAGTCATTGATTACTACTTTCTTAGCCTGATGCTTCAGCCAGTCCACCTTATAGTCCATTCATCCAGCCTGGACTTCCTTAGCTTCTCGGCAAGAATGTTCTGTAAGACCATATCAAAAGCCTTGCTAAAAACTAAGTATATCACATCCACTGATCTCCCCACAGCCATAGAGCCAGTCATCTCATCATAGAAGGCAATCAGGTTAGTCAGGCATGACTTGCTCCTGGTGAATCCGTGCTGACTGTTCCTAATCACCTTCTTCTCCTCCAAGTGCTTAGAAATGGATTTCCTGAGGATCTGCTTCATGATTTTTCCAGGGACTGAGGTGAGGTCTATAGTTCCCTGGATCCTCCTTTTACCTTTCTTAAATATGGGCACTATGTTTGCACTTCTTATAAGCTTCCTTTTTGTGATTTAGTTTACTGAAGAGTTCCCTGCTAAGCCAAGCTGGTCTTCTTCCATACTTGCTAGTCTTCCTGCGCATTGGGATGGTTTGTTCCAGCACTCTCAGTAAAGCTTCTTGACAGTACAGCTAGCTCTCCTGGACTCTTCTCTACTTCAGACTGACTTCACAGGGGATCCTGGCCATGAGTTCTCTGAGCGAGTCAAAGTCTGCTTTTCTTATGTCCATGATCCATCTCTTCTGCTGTTCATCTTTCCTTTCCTCAGGATCCTGAATGCAATCATCTCATGGTCACTGCTGCCCAAGTTGCCATCCACTACTACATTCCCCACCAATTCTTCCATGTTTGTAAGCAGCAAGTCAAGAAGAGCACAGCCCCTAGTTGGCCTCTCCAGCACTTGCACCAGGAAGTTGTCCCAAACACTCTCCAAAACCTTCCTGGATTTTCTTCACACTCCTGTATTGCCTTCCCAGCAGATGTCAGGGTGACTGAAGTCTCCCATGTGAACGAGGGTTTGTGATTAAGAAAGCCTCATCCACCCCTTTCTCTTGGTCTGGAGGTCTATAGCAGACACCCATCACAACATCACCCTTGTTTCTCTCCTCTGACCATAACCCAGAGACTTTCAGCAGGCCTTTCTCCAGTTTCATACTGGAACTCTAAGCAATCATATGGCTCTTGTACAAAAGTGCAACTCCTCCTCCTCTTATCCCCTGCCTATCTTTCCTGAACAGTTTGTACCCATCCACGACAGTGCTCCAGCCATTTAAGCTATCCCACCAAGTCTCTGTTATTCCAATCACATCATAGTTCTGGACTGTGCAAGGGATTCCTATTCTTCCTGCTTGTTTCCCAGGCTCTGCACATTCATGTACAGGCACCTGAGGTAACTAGTCGATTGCCCTGATTTCTCAGGAAGAATGCGAACACCTCTCCTATTGCCCCCTCCTGCTTGCTCTTCCTCCAGGTCTCCCACTTCCCCACCTACCTCAGGACTTTGGTCTCCATCCCTCGGCAAACCTAGTTTATTGCCTTCCTCACTAGGTTAGTGAATCTGTCTGCAAGATTTCACAGTCAGCCAAAATCTTACTGAAAATTTCTCTAGCACTGAGAATTCTGCATTCTGCATTGAGTTGCAGATTTCCTCAATACTACCTTTCAGTAAAAGTTAAATTATTCAGTGGAAGGATAGTAGATCACATAAGCATCACAGCTATACTTTGAGGACATATTCTAACTTGCTGTAAATTGGCCTAGCTCCATTAATTCAAGGTAATTATAGGTGCTTAATAACAGCAGTTTAGGATCTGGCGTCCTTCAGCTTCTCATCCTCACTGTCACTTCTTGCTTTGTATATAAATTACTAACCATCACTGCTTAAAGAAATAACCAGACTCATTCAATAGTTTACTGCATATTTTATCAAAGCAAGCCCTCCCATTTCAAAATGATCAGTGTTTAAAAGCTCAGGGCCTTGCAGTGTGAAGCCTGTAACCTTCATCTTGCCAGACCTTCCCTGTTTCCCATTCATCCTACATCATTTCTTAGTTATCCTCCACACAGTTCCTAAATGCTGTGGACAAAAAAGCCCTTTTCATTGCAGTGAGTGAGAAAGGGTGAAAATAAAGTGAACAGTTTATTAGTGTCTTTATATTTGGCAGCAGATCTCCTGTTTTCCAAATGGAAACTCTGACACACTCAATCTTGTGCCTTTTCATCCACATCCAGCTCATCATCTGAACATTCCTAGACCTTTATCCTGTCAGATGACAAACAGGAAAGGTCACCGAAATCTCAGTCTAATTTAACCATGGCTTCACTGTTAAACTACTTGAAGTATTTTGTTATTTCATCCCAATACATAATGAACCAGAAAGATGCAGAGGAGCAGAAGATTAATCGGTAAACATTAGCTTGCTGACAAAACATTTAAAATATTGTAAACTGTAGGATGACAGGGAGAAACAGATGAATTGGAAAGGCATTAATTATCTTCAAAAGATATAGAAAATTAAAGTCACCAGATACTATCATTCCAATACATGCTCACACATTTTCAAGGCCTGTCCCTTGCCTTATGCTATTCACAGCCTTCTATTTTTTTTAAAGTAAAAGGACTCGCATGCAAGATTCTGAACTCCTCCCAAAAGATGCAGATCACTCTGTTTCCATTGAAGATAATGCCAGGAGAAACCACTCAGAATTTTTCAAGAACCAGCCAATACATTACAACACTGGTCCTAAATTTTAATTTGTTCCCTATCAGTCTGATTATTGAAGCTTAGTGCGGAACTACAAATCACAATACCCAACATCTTTTCTGCCATCAAAACCTTTATAATTCCTGTGTAAATCATTCCTGTTCTTTCCTGGGCCCAGCTTGGGCCCAGCTTGGTCAAAATTTGTTATTTCTAATGCAGTCCTTGTGTTTTTGTGCAGTCTTTGTGCAGCTCAGTTTCCACTGTGACATCCTTTTTTTTA